GAGACGACTGTTGACATTCTTGGGAGCGTGCAAGAATTGCATATATGTGTGGATAAACAAAGCCCAACTACCAGAAATCTCAATGTAGTTTTGAGACAGTTTGAATGGTTTCATAAAATGTTTTGCGCCTTTGTAAGGATTCATATTTTAGCCATGAACAGATTATTGGGCGTGAAAGCTTTAGTCTGCTCACACTTCAAACATCAGCTTTTATTGCATTCAACATACAAAAAAGAGTATATGCAGAGATGAAGCTATCGATATGCATTCATAAGCCTGACATTTTTATTAGATTTGTTTTACGATAAGCAGTGACATTGGCCGATTCACATTCGGATATATTGTTGCAACATTTTCTAACACATTCGATCTGCAACGCGTGCTCTTTGTCTATTTCTATTTCACTCTTACTATCCATCTGTATCTCTATGTGCGTACTTAAGTTTATTGAATTAAACTGAAACATTTTGATGCAGTGCGTTATTCACTACCACCGCTAGCACTCACTTAATCACAATTAAACCATTCAGTTATAGTTGAGGTGAAATAATCATATGACAAATAAGGCGAATAACACTACACCGTCTCTCTCTTTCTCCACCATGGATCGTACTTGTTTCTTGCTTATCTTCATACATTTTTTCCAACGAAGTGCCAATATTTATTAACTCCATTTGACGTTTTCTTTTCTTCCGAAACAATGGTCGCGATTTTTTTCATGTATGCATAACGAAATGCGACAAGACTTGACACAAAATATGTATACCGTAAGGATCAACAAATAAAATGTTTTCGCATTCGGTTTGGCATTGTAGCCGTTTTAAATTTCAATGCGAACAAAAAAAAACTAAAAATAATAATAAAACCCCATAAGAATAAGAATAACATAATGTTTTTTTCAATTATTTAAACGCACTTGCAGAGAGCAGTGTGCTTTTTATTTTCATTTTCGTTCTTGGTTTAATTTCTTCTTTATTTTTCATCTTTATTGTGGTTAAATGGATATGTATGCCTTATGAACGTTTGTACGTACCATACTTGGTGCGCATGGAAAATTCATGAAACTATCACACCGTGAAAAAAGAGCGTAACCGAGAAATGTGATGAAATAAAAGACAACAAAGCCAATACCAATAAAATGACACTCAACCCATAAAATTACATGTGAACTTGCCAAAAAGTATCGCATGTCGCCCATCCATTAAAATGTACAAAAATGTACATATCGAACTAAAGTGTGCAACACACAACACACATTCGAAGGCTAGAAGAGCTAAGAAAAACGATAAAAAGAGCGAGAAAATGCTGAGCTGAAGCTGAACGACGACAAAATATAAAAAAAGAACAGAAGAAAAGAAAAAAAATGCAAAGATGTACTGAAGAATACATACATTAAAAATGTTGTAACAATTTTTTCCTCTCTCATTTGTTGACTTGAACTTCTTTGCGTTTATCTGTGTGCTGTGGTTGTTGTTATTGTTGTTTTTGTGCAAAGCCAAAAGCTAAATGCATCGATAGCTCAAAATTTAGTTGTAAAAACGTAGAAAAGCCAAAGCAACATGCCAGTATTCGTTCAATTGTGTTGTTTTTTCCTTTCAATTTTTGCCATGGCATCTGGCAAAGAATAAAACTAAAATGCTATAACATGGATTAAGTCTCTCTTACTTCTACCCCTTTACCTTTTGTACATCTTATTTAGATTCCTTAAAAATCGAAATCGAAAACGAATTTGAAGCAACCTTTTCACCGTTTGGTTAATTTTAGCTTATTACTTTAATTATAGGCTAAAAGGAATACCGAATACAGACACAAATGCGTATACTGTGTGCATTTTCATGCCAGTTATAGAGAAAAAAGTGTGTGTTACCTTGATTGACCAGCTTTGGCATCGAACTACAACACACATACACACATTATGCCACTATCAGACGCAAACGGAACAGAAAATAAAATTACACATACAAAAATTATATGAACGCATTAAACCACAACGCCATTCGATGTTGTGCACACTATGTTTGCACTGTGCACTTTTCCACATATTTTGTTTTTCTTCTTCTTGCAACCGGCTCTCAAAATCTAGTATGATGTCGGTTGAATAATCGGTCGATTTATAGATTGGTGGTATTAGAGAGGAAAAAAATGCATTTTGTATAGCTTTTGTTTAGCAATCCTCATTTCTCTGCAATGTATTAGGCCAAAGTAAGTAAATACGGTCGAATCGTACAGATCCGCAGTTTATTCTACTGTTTTTTGTGTGAGTGTGTGTGTGTGTGTGTTAATTGTACATTTGTACAAGCGGTCTTTTTTCAACATGTGTGTTTATTGGCAAGCCAATGGAGACTTACGATAATTCAATTCACTTCTTCAGGATTTGGTTTGAGCTTTTCCTGGAAACGCCAGTTGGCATTGAGTTAATAAATTCTTTCTGTGTGTTATTTTCGTTGTGCATTCTTATTCTTGTGTGTGCCATATCATTATGTCGATCGATAGAGACATTAAGATTTTTGATAATTGGTCCCACTGGCCATATGTCTGATAATCTGCATACAGACTGTGGCCAGATATCCAGTACCATTCGACTGTGGAATAGTGAGCGGGAGCAAAAGAGAATAAGATACGTAGACGTATAGGATCCACAGCATAAATTCAATATCCCATCCATCCATCGATGAACAACGCGACGTCGACGACGAAACAACCGACAAACATGAATGGTAACGAACCAAAGACTAATGTGAATAATCACAATACGATACAGCACAACAAGTAATGCCGTTTGAATTGTGTTCACTTCATTCGATTCGAATCGATTGATTCATTTGAGATTCAGCAATGGTAGATACTTCCAGTTTCGATGTGTATAGAAGTTCATTATTATTAAAGGTAAATATACGCGCGAAGCAAGAAATGACAGCTCACTTCGGAATATCCAGATAAAATGAGCATGAAAAACGCCAATCGGCGTTTTAATTTGTGTTTTTTTTTTGTTACTCGGTGTGTTGGCCGTTCTCTGTCTCGCGTCGTGTGTGCAGATTCACCGTTACATGGACTTCTTTCCCGTTACCGGGCTGAACAGACAGAGAAAGAGAGAGAGAGAGAGAGAGAGAGAGAGAGATAATGAAATACAGAGTAAAACGACCGAAAATTTGCCGGACGCACAAGCTTGCAAACACATACACATAAAGTGAATTCTCTCGCTCACACCACGAATACGTGTATAGTGAATTCTCTCGCTCACACCACGAATACGTGTATCTTATACGGATTTCTTGCCAAGATTATCACGATAAATATACAGTCGAATTGCACTTGAACATTCGTATATGTTGAACGGAAATCAATTCACCACTTCGAAATAATCATTTGGTTTGAAGCATCCAATATAATTTGTTTGCCACAGAATCAATCTGGTTTTTTTTTCGTACGTTCGGTCATTCGAATTGAATTGAAATTAAGAAAAAAGCTAAGAAGAATTATGGAAAATCGCATTCATTTCGATGAGATTATCGTATAAATAGCGAAATAAATGTACTATTACTGCCACTTATTTTGAAGCTATTTGTCAAAATAATTGCATAGTGAAATCTAATTTAAATACCGCATTAGCACGTGGTTTGAAAAATATGCAACTCAAGTACTGGCACTGGTACTCACACACAGGCTTACACATTGCGCGACTGCATATTAGCCCGCCAGATATTGTTTGTTACAACATAATTTGTGTTCAAAAACCTCGCGCGATTTGCACGATTCCAATAAAAGACAATGAACCGAACCGATCTGACTCACATACATACACACATAAACGCCCCGATATGTATATATATATATATTTAGCGAACGCGCTAACGTTTACCATTCCATACCATTCCATACCATTCCATCGCCCATTAATTGTTGTGTCAATTATTTATTTTACCTCTCTCTCGCATATACTATCTTTCGGTTGAAATCAAAGCTCAATACTGTATTCCATAGCCAGCTCTGTCTCATTTTTGCCGAAGTCATTCTCTTGCTCTCAAATAAGGAGGCAAACAAATAAACAAAAACCAAACTGAAAATAAAAACAAAATAACTAGCTGAAACGAAATTCACATAGTGGTGTTCGGTTTTTTTTTTAGAATTCATTGTTAGCCTTTGATTTTTTCCGCTGCGAAAATGCAACTTAATAAGTCCAAATAATATAATTTTTTTGTTTTGCTCAGCTGTTCGCGCGAACACAGCAATGTATGGTGATCAATTTTGGTCAAATGCATAATACTTTGTGTCCGCCTTTATACCAGCAAATCAAATGAGATGGAAGAGAAGAAAAAAAAATCGCGTCGTTGATTCGGATTCCGTTGACTCTTTGTGAAACGTTGCACTTTTTTTTCTCACAATTGAAATGGCCGCATTTTGATATTTTCGCTTACCGTTTGATGTCCATAAATTAAGGGGAAAAAAACAACAACCAGAAAACACAAAGATTTTTATCCGAAATAGAAATAGTGTCACTTTAAAAGAATTTATACAATTGTTCCACATTTTACAATGCGTCAACACATAAAGATTGAATGTGGGCTAACCAGAGACATTGTCGAGTATACTTTAACTTTTGGACATTGATACGATCCAAGCGCTAGCATAATATGCTGAATTACCGTATGCTGTCGCACATACATCGTCATCAATGTCAATTTTTAATTATAAATTCAGTCAATTATTGTCTTTCAATAAAATAAGTACTCAAATTGGTATACAAAAACAGCCAATGCAAATTTTGTTTTTTATTTTACCACATCGTCTGAGTTCTGTTTTTCCAGGCACCTATTTTCATACACTTGAACGAATACAAAATTTTATTTCAACAATTTATATCCACTCTCGACTGCGTACTTTTATTTAATTTTTTATACTTTCTGAAAATATTATTCGCACTTTCTTTTTAGTTTTGGAAATTAATTTTTCAAAATCTCTTGGAATTATATTAATAGGTTCTTTTGATTTCTTCTGTACAGGAATAAGCAAAATGTTCTCCAGAGTGCCAATAAACCCCACTTCAGAATTAATACCGACAGCCACAGATCCACATGTACCTTCACTGGCATCCACTACAAATGCTGCTGTTACATCCGACGATCATCTAGGTAATTGAATTGATAATGTATTTTCTTTTTAGTTTTTATAGTTCAGCGCCAGTTTGGCGTTCAACAAAAAAAAAATAATTTGAAATGTAATGTTAAAATTCGCAGAATGGTGGTCGAATGCTATTGAAGAGGATTCATTTTATTCATCGTTACCATTTGATGCTAGCGAAAGCGGTTTATGGAATGGTCGATTTGTACCACCACCGCCACGACCACCCTTTTGGGATGATACAGTCAAACAGGATGGCATAACAACATGTGATTTATGTACTTGGGCATTACAGGATCGAAACGCTTTTAGTATTGATGGTACAATAAGTGGTAAGTGCTTTTCATTTTCTAACAACACTCCTTCGGATTAACCAAAAACTAATGCAATACGAAACAACGTTTTTAAGCCTTAATCAGTGAAGAAGAAAAACCGGCATTTTCGTTTAAACTTTAACTGAAGTTGGCTAATTAGAAAATTGAAGTGAACAACTGACGGAATGTTAGAATCATTAGTGCACATTGAAATAAGAGCATTTAATAGTCCACAGTTTATAAATATATTCGATTTTGATAAGTTGTACGGAGTTAGTGCTTTTTTTTAGTTTTCGAAGGAAAGAGGTGAAAAATGAATCAGCTATCTGTAAAAGTCAAATAATTAAGAAATAAATCACCGGTTGCTCTAATGCGATATACACGTCCATTCCAAATTTCGTCCATTTTCAACGCATTGCCCAGTATGAATAATATTCTTTCACCATCAGCTCTTTAATGGATCATTAATTTGACTTTGATTTTCTTTTTACTCTTTTTTCTCGTTCTCTTTCTCCGTCTCTCTGTTTGCTTTTCAATTTCTAATACCATTATACAAAAAAAAAAATCGTTTGGTTTTGGTTTCTCTCGTTCATTTTTGTTCTTCGTGTATTTTGTCCCACGTTTTTGTAAAAAGCATTGTCGACCACTGTTGATTTCTTCAAATGATTTAAAGTTATAGTAAGCACCATTTGATATACGTTATTTTAAATGAGTTGATTAGCATTTTGTTCTGTGATTTTAGCACTAACGACTACTGTTATTGACCTGCGCTTTTGAATTCTCTCTTCTGTATGCCTCATTTTTTCTTGTTGTTGTCATTTTCATCATTCTCATACGAAAACGATTATTGTAAATATGTGACGCGATCACACAAAATTAAAGCTCAAACAAAATGACGGCCATCAACCGCACACACAGATAGCGAGCATAAAATGCAAAAGAGAACCGGTGTCTCTGAATAAGACTTGATTTATCATCAAAACGAGGAAAAATGTTGCCTTGATTATGGATGGAAGCATTAAATAGCTATCTTTCGCTCTATCAGTGACCTATTACGAAAAAATCTTTCTATTTTCGTTTCGTTATCACATATTGAATTTGATTTTATTGACTTGCTATACGAATTGACATTGTTGGTATGCAAAAAAAAAAAACAAGAACAAATAGTCAGAACACACCGAAGTTAATAAAGTAAACCAGCTGCGTATCAACAAGCATTTAAATTCAAATACACATTTTATGGGCTAGTCCACAAAAAAATCCACAAATCTTGCTATGGGCTGTTTTTCGCTTCGCATTCGTCTTTGTTTCTATGATTATTACTTTGTTGATTTTTTCGGCCATAAAGCCGACCTTTTTTTATTTTGAATATAATCGCAAAAGATGATCAGCATTTGGAATGGTCAAGAAAATTGATGACACTTAATTTTTCAACACGCACGCATCACATATTCACACATCGGACCGGATCAGATTGGATCTCGGCTTGGTCGTCGCAAATGAAAATTAATGGAAGCAATAGCACACGACTATCGAGAAAGTGTTTTTGACTCAATTTTAAGTAATCGTGCAGAGTGTTTTTCGTAATTAGATGCGTTTATAGTCTTCAATAATGTGGCACAGCCACGGCGCTAGATATGTCGCCGCGATATAACGTGCACATATTTCATCAACATTGTATGGCTGGTGTGTCTAGGCGAATTTCGATCGGAATGTCCATTTTCTTACTCAACAAAATTCATATAAAATGTGGAATTTTTGACGTTGATGTGTCGAAAGAGAAAAGAGAGACATCTTCTTATCTGACTCTCATTAAGAGATTGTCATTAAGCTGCGCACCTTTTAGGCACAAACAAAGAAACCAAAAAACAAACGCACCAAACAACTCAATTCAAAGCATATCTAAATGAGCGAGTGATAAGCACGCTCGAATGAAATATGAACACAGGAATGTACGAAACAAACACTTACCGACGGCTTTGCATTCGCTCTCAACTTGACAGATTAATTTGTCAGGCATTAGTAAATATATTTGAATTCGTCACCTGATTTGTTTTTCTTTTAATGCGCTTTTCTTCTTCTTTTTCGGTTGGGTATTGAAAAAATCTTTATCACAAGCGATATACACAGTGGGAAATGATCGCACTCCTTTTGAAATATAAACAAGTCCATTTCATAGCTCTTCCAAATTATCGAAAAAAGAAGAAAAAAATTAGCATTTTATTCCGTAATTTTCTATAGCTTAATATTCAGTGTTGCTGCTACTTTACAAACAGATTCGATAGACAAGTGTTTTCAATATTTATCTATATATTATAGTATAGTATGTGTAAATTTACCAGTGTGTGCATTCCCATGGCTTTTTTCTCCGATTAATTCGACAACGACGAAAACGACGACAGCCACGACGTCGCATAAAGTCAATGTTCATTTAAAGCGTAGCGAACATGAAGTCTTTTGTTAAACCGCTTATGAAATAGAATATGAGGCTTAATGTTTGCACACGGAAAACATGCTCATCCTTTATCGAATATGTATAAACGTAAAGCTACAACTCAAGCAAAAACAACCAAAAAAAACATAGCAGCAACAACGATGACGAAGACGATGAAAAAAGAAAAAACCACTAGCAAAACATTAAACATTGGTGCAAATTTTGCAAAATGTACCGTTTATGAGATTTCACCGCATACACCGGTCGATATTACTAGAGATTATTGGCGACAATTATGAAAATGGGAACACAAACATGTTTTTTACACGAACACCAAACATGAATTTTACAATTGCCAATTTAAAATCATTCACCTCAACTACATTTCGATACAATAAATAATTTTCATATACATGCTCTTTCTCTCTATCTCCCTCTCTCTCTCTCTCGTGCCTGATTTTAACAAATTTACAAAAAGAATTTTACATAGTCGAGAAACAGTGAAAAGATTTAAATAGTCGCTTTTTTGAATTGATTTAAGAATTTGCTGTGAAATTAATTGGCTTGAAATTTCGGATTGTATGTATTTTGAATATTTCATCGATGTTTCACAAATGTTCCCACCGCAGCGAAGCATTTAAGTCGATTTTGAAATTTCAGTAAAATTGATTCTCAATTTAATTCCATTCTGTGTGTTGTTACTTTTTGTAACGTTTCTTGTTTTCGAATTGAAATCATTTCAATTTAAAAGTATTCGGATACATTTGTGGCGCTTTCAATGAGCAACATAACCCGGAATCGCGAAAAATCATCGCAAAACCATTCAACATTTACGGAATGTACACTGCATGTTGGTCTCTTTTAATGCGCGCTCTTGAATTCTCAATTCAGCTTGAGAGAAAATCAAAACAACAACAACAAAAAAATGAAGCAAATGGCATAAGAACAAAACGAAAAAAAAACGCTTCGTTTGTATGTTTCAGCTAAAATGAAAACCGAATAAAATCGCCCATGTCTACCAGAGAGAAAATACTTAGAAAAATCAATGTATAAAACAATTCGACAAGGGGAACGGAATCGAAGTAAAAATCAAAATAAAAAGCAATACATTAGAAACCGGTTAATTTGTGAAATATATGTTGAAAAATATACAGAACAGAATATGTCTCTTCTCTGACAAACCAAAATGAATAATGCATGGCCGATTGCATATCAAACGACATTGTACATCTTTTCACTTGGCTATATTTGGTCATGCATCATGTATTAGGCTTTCGTATAAAACAAATGACCAAATATGTAATAATCGCTTTCATCAGGTTATGTATACTGCATACAGTTGATTCGATTCGAGAGCACAATCGTAATTTTAATCGAACACCTGATACAGAATCGAGAACCAAACCGCCAACTCAATCCTCAGCTCGCATCTCTTGCCCAATTCAAGAAAAGTGCGAGAAACTTTCTCAAGTGACTAACTTCGGTTTTTTCTCTTTCTCCCTCTCTATCTCTATCTCTCTCCTTCAAAATGGAATTTTATTCCTGTTTTCAAATCATTTAAAACAGTTCAGCCAAAGTCAAAATACTACACTCTCGCAAAAGGAAGAAGAAGAAGAAGTAAAAACCACAGACTTTTCGAGTGTTTAAGTGTTTATAGTTTGCTGATTACTACAATGAAAAAGAACGCAGTGAGTGTTGTTGTTTTTTTTTTGTTCTTCTTCCTTGGTCACGTCAAATATTCGTATAATAATAATTACATTGATGTAATTTCCGTCATAAATCTTCGACAACTGTGCATTTAATCGGTATGAACCACCTGAAAATCATGCTGTTTTGCTGTTGTGATTATTTCTTTTATCCGTCGCATTTATCGTTTATCGTGCAAATAGCTTTGTCAACATTGTGCGAAACGGATATTATTATAAGTTGATTGTGTGGCATGATGCGTCAATTTTTTTTGCCGTTCGTCTCCCATTTTTTCGTTCGTTGCGCCACTGTTGTACGAAAAAATACTGTTGTACACAATTACTGTTGTACACTCCACACTTAAGTTAAGTTACATCGTCTGTCCAACTGAGCAATAAACAAAAAAAAAAGGAAAAGAATGTGAAAAAGGACAAGAATGTATGAAAAATGTTGTGAAATCGATTAAGTTTTTCATCGTCATAAAGTATTTGTTCGCAAAAACAATAACGAAACGAAAAATATGATCATAAGAAACTAAACCGATCGCAGAATAAAAAAAAATGAAACGAAAAGAAGAGAAGTGATTGTACAATGTTTTTGACGAAGTATGTTTTTGTGAGAATTAAGATCGCAGCTGAGAGAGTGGCGAAAATTGACGACTGGAAATAATATAGCAATTAAATAGATAATGCAGGAGGCTAATTTTTCAAAGCAACTGATCTGAACCTGTTCACGAATTTCAACGTGTGCGAGAGAATAATTTTCCATCAAGTATGTGTGTGAATTGGAAACATTATGTTGATGTTCAGCACAGAATCTAAAAAAAAAATTGCTCAACACATTCTGCCGTTTTGTTGTTGATCAGCCAATTCTTTTTGCGCTGAATACGGACGCTTTA